GTATTTGTCAATCTTATTGCCACCAAAGAGGAGGACCTCAACAATTTCTTGCAGTTCCCCTTTGTGATACTGTGTTTCAGCTATCTTGCAATAGTACTGAAGGATTTCTGAACAACTCTATGTGGTAAATTGAGAAGATACTGTGGTCCTACAAATTTGGTCAAAATAAATACGCTAACACAGTTTATGGGTGCCCGTGTTTTGTGGCTTGTATAGCTTGTGTATATTTGTGAGATTGAGTCATTAGATTTATAACACATCTTTGGAAACTCAAAATAGGTAGAACTCCCATTTTTTTTCCAGTAGGGATTACCTTGTCAGGTTGGTTGGCCTGGGGGAGAGTTACTGGCCCAATGTAACCCAATAAGTTTTCAATGGCCGAGAATAGATTTGAATCTGGGTTTCCCTGCCTCTTGTATGCCACCTTCATCACTAGACTGGTCTTGGCTATCTAGATAAATGTGCGTACTACAATTATACTAGAGTTGGAAATTTATAAATAGGTCCTGTTTCAATATGTTTGACTAGTGATGTATATAATTATTTCTGCATATCAAAGAGAGGAAAAGAATCAGCCAAGCAATTGTAGTTAGGTGTAGCTTTATAAAAATCTATCCAGCACGGAGTATCTGTTCCAGTTTGAACTGCCACTTCAGAAAATTGATTTTCTGAATTGGCTTAGATTGATCTGATTTGGACTTAGGAATTTATTCCTTCAAATTTGAACAGGCTCTATTCCAATTATCACAAAAGGTGTTGCAATGGACTAGTCTTAAGGCTAGTCAGGAATTCTATCTTATGCAAAGACAGGAATCAACGACTGTATAAATCAACATCCAACATTTATTTCCTGGACTGCCCTGGCATATGATTAAGCTAAAATGCAAGCTAGTATTGGTATCCATTCCTTGTTTGTTGCTAGCAGATATACAGTTAAACCAGCCTCCAATATCTCTGCAGTTAAGCTGAGTATATTTAGTTATATTGCAATTAATTACACAGTGCTCTGTGATCCCAAGGAAACACCTACTTTGCCCTCACAAGACTTTTTCTAAATTTGAGTTAATCATTGCCCATTCACCTAACTTAAGCAGCATTTCAGTGTCCTTGTTTCAAAACACCTCTGCCTGGTCTTCATGAAACTCCAAAGGTAACCACATCTGTTGTGATTTAGCACATGATGTGAGACTTCTCAAGGGATTATATTGCTACACGAAGAGATACTTAATTCCTATTTGCATTCTGGCTGTGAATAGTAACTGAAAAATGGTGCAATTCAAATTGTTTTTGTAAGCAAACAGCTGTGATTGAGAACCATGAACTCAAGAAAATGGGCTGTTGGGGTTATTAAGCAATATACTGAAGGACCAGGTAACATACAAGAAGAAAGGCTTCCGTACTTTCTGAAAAGGGATGGCTTGTTCCTGGGCTATACTTCTCTATAATTTGGGGAAGGAATTTGTTGTTCTTCACAAACCATTCCAATCTGTTTTTTCCATTCTGGTTTACTTTTCAGGATACAAATCCACATGAATATGATATTGATTGTTGTTGCTTTATTCATGCTCTCCTTTATAGCAGGTAAGTTGTGAATCAGGAAAAAGACCTGAAAACAAAGTCCAATAATCATTTCTGGGGAATGCTATGTATGTATGGAGGTGGAATAAATAGATCTAAAGTGTGTATGGGGAGGAGGAAGGTATTGCACATTAGATTTGTCACAGCATTTAGCTAACCTCCTTGGGCTCTGATGTAAGTAGGGTTTAGGCCTAGTTAGTAGTTGGATGGAAGATCAGAAGGTTCTACCAAGGTTGGATATTACTCCTGAATGTCAACTATCCAACAAGAAGGTAATGGCAAAACACTTCTGTGTTGGTCCAAGGAAGCTTTGTGGGTATGTCTATGAAGTCACCAAGAGCTGAGTTTCATCAGAAGGAGAATTAAGTCTTTCTTTTCAGCCCATATGACATTCAGGATGGTTTCAACAAAAACTGAAAACTAGCCACAATTATTATTAACCTGGGTGACGAGGAAGGTTTGTAATTAATTAAAGGTATTCAAACAAGCATTGAATTCAGGTAGGCTAGGAAACTTGGTGAACACAAATGAAAATACCTGCTGATATGTTTATGTCTCTCTCCATCCTATGTGATTAATGATTGTTGTCCCCAGTTTAATACAGTGGTACCTCGGTTCACGAACTTAATTCGTTCCGTGACTCTGGTCGGGAACCGAATTGGTCGGGAACCGAATCAAATTTCCCCATAAGGTTCAATGTAATTACGGTTAATCCGTTCTGAATCATATGTTTTTTGTTTTTTTTAAACTGCAAAAATATGACACAAAGTACAGTATGAAAAGAGAGAACGCTAACCTTGCTCGACGCGACTGCTGGCGTGGTGGACAGGAAGGCGGGTGGGGAGGTGGATATTGCTTGGAGTGTGAGTCCCCCTCCCCACAGGAGGACGCGCACACGTGTCACGGGGGGGCAAAGGGCTACGGAGTGCGT